ACCCCAAACTAAGGGGACCTAAACTGTATTACTTTACTGGTGATGATGGAAAGAGGGTGATTATGGGAGAGGGGGAAGAGGACAACTTGGAGAAGTTACAAAGGAGGTTGATGAGGAAATCATGTCAAAGTTTTCATCTCTTTGGTGCTCACAGCTTGCCTCTTCAAGAACTCTTGTCATCATAAATTTCAGTCTTACCTCTGTTTCTGGTGACATAGAGTGGAACACTCAAGTGATCAGTACTCAGGTGATGACCTAGTACTCTCCTGAGGTCAGCCAACATAAAACTGAGAAGATAACTCATTTCAGGGTCTTTCTCCTCTTCGTGGATCTTGGTGTTTGTCAGTTGCCTTGGACACAACTTACAAAATAGCTATTATTTTTTGCTGCTGATATAATGAGTTATAGCTTCTAGGTAAGTTATTTTCATTTTAACTGGGACGTCCAAAGAACTTTAATCCTAACATGTGTTGTTGTTCTCCTCCCTGTCTGCCTGTCTTTCCATATATAGTTTCTGAGTACCTCAGCTGGTGCCAGGTGTTTCAATAAGTGCTGAGGATGCAAACTTCATCCCTGCCCTCATGAAAGTCCTGTGGAACATGACTGATTCTAAAAACACAACCACACAAATCATATTCTTTAATATGGAAGCATAACACATTATATATTTGCATCCATGAACAATATGCCTAATCATCAACCATGTTCTTACTTGCCCATTTCAGCATGTTTAACTCAACATGTTTCTTTCAGCATGTTTAACTCAACATTCTAATGGTGTACTATGATGTTGCTATAGAAATGGATAAATATTTTGATGAGAATAGCTTGAAACTTCTCAAAATACATAACTTTGCTTTTCCATAGAGCTGTTCAAAATAATTGTCTTCCAGGATGAATACTTTTCCTGTCCTGTTGTCCCCAGTTGTGGTAACTTCAAGTAACTCTTACTTTCCAGACTTAAGGCAAACATACTGAAAATCTCTTCCCCAACCCTTGTGTAGATGACGTACCAATAAGCTCCAGGCCTATATTTACATGCCCTATCCTGCCTATTAGTTTCACAGCCAAAAGGGGTTCTTTCCCTGTGTTCCACTCTGATTTTATGGTGACCTACTTCTGCACAAATGTGTATCTCTGCGTGAAATCATATTTTTTTAAAAAATTGCTAGTAGTTTTCCTCTTAGTAGAAATTGTTGCATTTTCACCTCAGTTTTCCTTTATTTCATCCATGTCTTTAAAGGGAATTTCAAAGAAAACATACTTGTAAGTAATATCAGTATATAATGACTCATTTTTCTAAAATCAAACTAGTTTGATAATATACTCTTTCCCACATTACTTTTGACTTCCTTTATGAGAAAAAATTGCCTATCTTGTTGGTGAATTAAACAGGAATAACGCTTTTTTATTGTTCCTGTTTCCTGGGACTGATCCTTATTCACCAACAAAAATAAAACATAAAATTATAACACAAAGAGATAATGATAATTTAAATTAAGGGGAATAGAAAATTCCTAGTGAATACAAGGATAACGTATTTGTCAGGACCTCAACTAATGTCTTTTAGTTCAACATTATCTCACTGAAATATGGATGAGAAAAAAAATATTCCCTGGGGGGCCACTATGTATGGTACATGCGTGTCATCCCCTGTTTGTGTGCATTTTCTCCAAGTATTCTGGTTTCTTTCTGCTTCTCAAGGATGTGGGTGTGAGGTTCATTGGCATGTTTAAATTGTCCTGGTCTCAGTGAGTGTGTGTAAAATTTACTTTTTTCCTACAACTAGATGAGATGGCACTATCAGAAGGAGTGTTGAGGAGGCAATGTAGGGCATTGTATGCAACAAAGAGGTATTCAGAGTGTATTTAACACTGATCTGTTACCATGGGAAAATGTTGACATTTTGTCTCATGAACATATAAGAGAGTTTGGTCAAACCGATGAATAATTTTTTCAAAATAGAAACATTATATAAAGGTTAATCAAGAAAAGATTTCATTAGTAGTAGATACTTTTATAGACATTATGAAACTTGATTCTACTGTAGTAATTCTGTTGTACTTATTGCTGTCTTATTTAAAGTTTTTTTTAATCTTTTCATTTTTTGAAGCATATTGCTAAAACCATTAATGTCTGTGCATGACTACGTTAATTATAGCTTAACTGGTTAGTTCGGGATATAAGCATGAATTAATGAAATTTCTGGTGCACTTGAATGTCCTCACTGGAGACTTTATTAAAAGTTTGGCCCCTAGAGACTGGGAATTGGATAAGTTCCATAACTGCTTATGTGTTTTGTTTGCAAACAATCCACAATGGACATTATTAGGAAAAAGGGATTCCTGGTAAAGATACAGTAGTGTGACAGACTGAGAAGAGATTTTCTATTGAGACAGCCCTTTGGACTTTGGAGTTCATTAGTAAGAAGGGCTGAGTTTATCCTTCAAGGATCGTACTCAGATTATAGAAAGTATCCTAGAAAAATCTCTACAGAAGACTAATAACCAATCCTTTTATTAAAGAAATGGGAATATTCCAAATCCACCCCAGTACCCTGCCCCCACATTGTCTGTAGCAAAGGTTTATTTTATAAAGGATCTCAACTCTCTCCTGTTTATATATTTTATTTTGTTCATGGGATAATTACTTTTATAATTTGACCCAGGCAGGCAGGCAGGCAGGCAAGCAGGCAAGCAGGCAGCTAGCCAGTTGAAGTAGATGGATGGATTAATGGATAGATGGAATGATGGTGTTGGGGTGGGGAGGAAGACATTAAATAAATGACAAATGAGAAGCAAATCCTGGTCAATTTCACAATACTTGTGCTAGAATAAGATATCCTTTCTTGAGCCACTCCATTCCTTTTTGCGGGGGGATGGTCCTGGGGCAGAGGGTGTGTGCATCTTTCACTGAGGCCCTCAAAGTGGGCAAGACAGCACTGGAGAGAGGAAAGCATTTTGGGCTTCCCAGGAAGGTGGCCCCACTGTGGGGAGCCCAATCCATGTGCTGGAGGACCCTCCTGGAGGAAGGCAGGTCTCTCTCCTTGGCAGATACATTCTGGTGTACTTACAGGGCTGGCAACTCTGTCTGCTTTCCTGAAGGGCTGGGGGTGGGGGTGGGGGGCATTATTCTTTCTCCAGGAGGCGGTCTTGCTGTGCTGCGAGATCTAGAGAAAAGGGAAGGGAGAGTCCATTGGAGCCTCCTTTTGGTGCCTGCCTACCCTTTCTTCCATACCCACGGATGCCAAAGAATCACTGTGGTGTCTTTTGGGTGGTAACAGATTCTGGTTCTCTCCATGTATGTGGGAAGCATGCACATGTGGACCTAAGATATATGTAATGCAGCACACGTATCTTATGTGTACAGTGCAATGAATTTTTGCTTATTCACATACCTGTGTGATATAATCACCACTGAGGTCAACCTTAGTGTTATTTCATTTCTCTTAAGTGAGTGAAATGCAATCTGGAATATCTGCTATAGCACTTTTCCTCATTTTGTATCCTCTTCTATTTTACTGTATCTCTGCTCCCACCTGTATTGCTGCCCATTTCCCTGCTTCACATCTCTCTCTACTTTGAGGAGCTTTCTCTGGTCTATTCTCTAAACTATCTAAACTAAAGGCCTCTAGTGTTTACTGGGCTCATTATAGGTGACAGTTCACCTTTATCACTCACTGCTTTTGGATACCACTAGAGTTCTAAACAGACCTGAGATCAAAACACTTCCAGATTGCTGTTTGAGGCAGGAGGCTGAATCCTCTTTTAATGAATGAACAATGTACTGACTCCACTTTTCGCTCAAGCTGGCTTTAAAATCTGAGGATCAGGTGCTGAAACAAGTTGATCTGACTCTGGGTGTCAATGTGATCCTGCATAAAAACAGGAAGTAGGGGGCCTCCCTGGTGGCTATGTCTCGCCTGATGCTCCCCTCAGCAGTGTATTTCAGTCAGTCTGCCTGTTCTGTTCCCCACTCTGTCTCTGGAGAATCTTCTCACCCCCCACACCTCTGGCCTATACTCCAGTTCTTATATGCATAAATAAATAAATCTTTAAAAAAAAACAACAGGAAGTAAAGGGCAGAAAATAACACTAATGTCCATGATTTCTTCATGAACTGACATTTCTGAAAATAAAATGTTTTTATGATGATTTCTTTTATTTATATGTTCATAGAAAAAAATGAAACAGGAAAAAAGATTAGAAATGTGTAAAAGGAAATTTTAGAAATTATACACAATTGCGGGCTACCTAAAATAACTTATTTCTGTGTGCATTCTTTCACAATTAATTCTCCTATTCCTTTAGAAAAAGTGCAATCATATTGGAAAGAACATTTTAGCAATATTAAACACAAATCTGCCGCTATCGACAAGCAAAAATCTCATCATAATTAGGTGCCTGGAATGAGAAACCCCTCGGTCCCCAGGTGCTGGTGGTCCCACCTCCCACACTGTCCTGGCCAGCCCTACGGCTCAAGTCTCGGTCAAGGCTCACCTACCAAACAAACCCCAATTCTTTTTTTTTTTTTTTAAAGATTTATTTTTATTTATTTATACAAGCACTGGGTATAGTCAGAAGTGCAGGAGGGTGAGAGAATTCACCAGAGCCAGAGCAGGGAGCAGAGCAGGCAGAAGGACCGAAGTACACTGCTGAGGGGAGCAGTGGGCGGCAGGAGAGGTCTGCGCACCATGTGGGACCCTCCTCCGGTGGCCGGGGAGCAGCCGGGGATCGAACCGGCGCTGCAGAGGCTGCGGGCAGCTTCGCAACCCAGCGCTCAACCGCTGCGCCACCGGGGAGGCCCCAAACTTCAATTCTTAATGAAGCCTCTCCTAATGCCCCAGAGTTGCATCAACCCATCAACCCAGGGGCTCCCACCAGGTGTGTGGCCCCCTCAGCCTTAAAGGCTGCACAGGAACTGGACAGGTGCCGGCCACCCTGGGGAATGAACTGCGCATGCGCAGGTTCCCACCCGCAGCCCCTTCCGGGAGGTGGGAAGCCTGGGGGCCGCCATCCTTCTGGCTCTGAACCCTGGGGCCTCATGCTGAGTGCTACAAGGTCCAAGGCCACAGCAGCCCTGAAGCACTGTTCCACCGTGTGTCCTCGGGGCCAGTCCTTCCTGACAGCAGCGGACTGTTCCTCAGAGCCTTTCCCTGAAAAATAGCCTCCTACTTCCTTAAAGGTATGTAGTATGTTACCCACCCCCAAAACACACACCTTTATTGAGATATAATTGGCATAACATGTTATTTGTAAAATATTTAGAGTGTGTAAGTTTATGCTATAGAATATGAAGTTCTGACTCACATGTTAGCGGACAGAATGAGGGCACCCCAGGGCCCGGAAACCTGCCTGCTCTGAATGGGTTCTGCCATTTCCTGTGTAAAGACACAATGTGTTTCTAGTGCATAAGACAAGACGCTTCAATAGAAAAGAATAAATTAGTGTGCAATAGTGAATTAGTTTGCAACAGAGAAAATAAAGAGAATGAATATAGTTAAAATAGTTTCCAATTAAACACCCGAAGTTACCCACCACCTCATGGGTAAATGCTCAAACAAGGAGGGCCTAAGGTAGGGCCGCTGAGACCCGACAGCTGGCCACAAGCCTAACCCACACCAAGGTGGTTCTTATCATAGGGGCAAAAGGGGCCAGTCAGCGAAATAAGCCAGAAAGAAAAAGAAAAATACCAGATGGTCTCACTCATAGCAGGAATTTAGAAAACCTAAATAAGGGACCAGGAAAAAGACTAATTGTGATAAAGTAAAAATCAAAACCAACAAGCAACTATAGACCAGAGACCAGTATGCTGGCAGGTGGGGGCGGGGGGAGAGAAGAGGGATTAGGGTCAGAATAAGGGGGGTGGGAATTGTATGGGGAATGTAACCAAAATGAAAATGCATACATTGTGCAAAAATGAAAAAAGATGTAAGAATTATATAAAATAAAATAATTTTTAAAACAGATTAAAAAAAAAAAAAGGTAAAGGCTGCCACTGTCAGCTTCCCCACAGACACTCATCCAGGTCTGGGTCTCTCAACTGTCTCTCTCCATGGCGCCCAAATCTCTGGAATAAGTCCAAGCCTGTAAATTTGGGGTTACATTTTCATTCCTCTAAATGTGCATATGTTCCACTCATCCTCTGCCCATTTTTATATTACAATTTTTTTTTGTCTATTGCTTTGTATGAGTTCTTGTATGAGTTCTTCATAACATATGAAGTTATATCAGCTATAAAGATTGTAAATATTTTCCTCCCATTCCATTGGTTGCCTTTTCATTTTGTTGATGGGTTTCTTTACTGTGCAGAAAACCTAAAAAGTTTTTAGTTTGATGTAGTCCCATTTGTTTATTTTTGTTTCTAATGCCTAACTTTGGTGTCAAATCCAAAAAAAATGTTGCCAAAGCCATTATCAAGGAGATTTTCCTTATGATTTCCCTATGATTCAATTCTTAAGTTTAAGTTTTTAATCTTGAGTTAATTTTTTTGTGAGTAGTGTAAGGTAGGGGTTCAGAAAAGCTTTGTATGTGAACATCTAGTTTTCACAGCACCATTTATTGAGAAAGTGTCATTTCCCATTCACTATTCTTGCAGTTCTTGTCAAAGGTTAGCTGCCTTTATATTCCCGGTTTATTTCTGGGCTCTCAGTTCTGTTCCATGAGTCCTTATGTCTGTTTTTGTGCCAGTATCAAAAAGTTTGATTATATTAACTGTGTAATAAAGTTTGAAATCAGGAAGTGTGATCCTTCGAGCTGTGTTCTCTCAGAATTGCTTTGCCAGTTTGGGGTTCTTTGTGGTTCCTTATGAACTTTAGGATTTTTTTTCTTAATTCTGTGAACAATAACTTCAGAATTTTTATAGCTATTACATTGACTCTATTAATGACTGAGAGGTGTGGATATTTTACCTATATAAATTCTTCCAATCAATGAACTTGGGGTATTGTTTCATTCATTTCTGTCTTTAGTTTATTTCATCAATATCTTAAGGCTTTCAGTGTACAGTCTTTTACTTCCTTGGTTAAACTTATCCTTAAGTATTTTGTTGCTTTGATATTATTACACACAGTATTATTTTCTTATCCTTCATGTTTTGTTGTAAGTGTATAGAAATGCCATTGATTTCTGTATGTTGATTTTGTATCCTGCAACTTTCCTGAATCCCTTAATTTTAACAGCTTTTTTGGTAGAGTGTTTAGGGTTTCATATATATAAAATTGTGCCATATGCAAGCAGAGAGAATTTTACTTCCTCCTTTCCTGTTTAGATGCTTTTTATTTCCTTTTTTTGTAGCCAATTGCTCTAAGACTCCCATATCGTGTTGACTAGCAGTGATAAGAGTGTGTACTCTTGTCTTATTCTTAATCTTAGTGGAAAAATGTTCAGTATTTCACTGTTCTGTATAATGGGAGCTGTAGGTTTGTCATATACATCTTGATTGTGTTGAGGAACATACCTTGTATGCCCCAAATAATTTAATTTGTTTAATAATTGTTCAATTGAATAAATAATAATTTGATTTTGTTTAATTATTGATCCAATTTCTTTAATAGATGTCTACAGAATGTCTACATCTTTTTGTATGATTTAGCAGACTGTCCTTAAGGAATTGGTCCATTTCATCTGGTTATCAAAGTCATGGGCATACAGTTGTTCATAATACTTATTTCTTTATTATTCTTTAATGTCCATGAGATGGGTTTGATTTTCAAGAATTTGAATATTTAACCTGTAATTTTAAAGAAAGATTTTTACATTTATTGTTTTTGCCATTAGAATAAAAAAAATTGCTACATTTAAAATTATCTTTAAAATTCAATATGTAAGGTTTTAAAAGTTTTTTATTAATTAATTTCAAGATCCATAGTGTATTAGTAAATTTTTTTTGAGTATTAGTAAATTTTTGATGATAGAATGTATATATCAAAATATTGCTGCTACTTATGAGTACTTATGACTTTTGAGTTACAGAAGAAAAAACTAAATTAGTACTTTATATCATGGCATACTTCCTTTCCTACTACATATATCCCTGTGCCACAGACATCTTAATAAATATTTTTTGAATAAATGAATGAACCCAATCCCAATTCACTAGCAAGTTTGCTTTCTTTGAAAACTAAATGGAAAAATCATGTTTTTAATTTAAATTATCTTTTAATAAACTAATGAAAACTTCAAATAGATAGAAATTCTAATGATAATCAATTTTAAATTTCAGAAAGACATATATGATTTAGGCACATCAAAGGAGGCAATGAAGTTTTTTTATTTGCTCTGATGTAACAATTATGTAATAAAACAGTTTTTTTCTTTCTTGCACAAAGTCCTAATATAGCCCCATCTTGATGGAATTAAAAAAAAAACCTCTAGCATTATCATAATAAACCCAAGAATTAAAGATTTAATATTTAGTATCATATCTAGAGTTGAGTGGGTTATAGATATTATATTTTGCTTCTCTGATGCTTCATTGGCATCACTTATAAATCTATTTTTAAATCTCTGTAGTTAGATTGGCTTGTTGATTAAGCTGACCTGCACACAGCAGCAGCCCCAAATATGAGCAATTTTTCTGGACTGGAATTGTACATAAAATAGAGACAGATAAGATCCTAAAGAAGAAGGGTCCATAGTGGGGAGGTAAATGGCATGCATAGAGGTGTATGTATAGAATAAATATCTTTCATTGACCAAATCCTGCACACTCAGGTAGTAGACAGTTCAATCTGGTAATTAGAAAATAGCATATTAGGATTCAGGTAAAGCCCCAATCATTAAGATGTAAAAAAGATGTCATTACCAGCATTTAAAAACTACAAATTTCCTCAACTGTTAATCTTTATATGTAATGAGGTAACTGATATTAACTGATGAACACACCAAGGTTCTTCTTATCATAGTATCAATTTGCAAGTCCCTGAAGTAACAGTGCTTTCTTAGGGAAGTAAGAATTGTCATAACTCACAAATTCCTAAATAAAATAACCACTAATAAAATTAATTGCCCCATAAACATCCTTCTCTGCTCAACACCACTATCTTTATACATTTTGCCAATATCATATGCATTCACTGATTTTCTGATATAGTAAACATTATTTCATTCCAATGCAAAATCATCTTGAGAAAGAAGCAAAAAAAAGACTTGGAAGTGGTGTTGGTGAGCTGCTTGAAGAAAATGAAATCTGGTAGCTGCAACATGGCATTTGCCTTCTAGGAACTTAGATGTGATGTTAGAACATCAAGAGAAGAGGTGGAGGGGCGGGGGGGTGTTTCTTTTACTTGATCAGGATCCTCCTAGGTACAGAGTCATTAAAATCATAGCAATGTTCTATTATTTAAGAATATGGGGAAAACTGGTATTTTGGTAACTGATGTCTCCCAGCATCTAGAACACCATTTCCACATACAGGCTCTCAAGAAATGTATGTTGAGGGCCTCCCCGGTGGCACAGCGGTTGAGCGCTGGGTTGCGAGGCTGCCCGCAGCCTCCGCGGCGCCGGTTCGATCCCCGGCTGCTCCCCGGCCACCGGAGGAGGGTCCCACATGGCGCGCAGACCTCTCCTGCCGCCCGCTGCTCCCCTCAGCAGTGTACTTCGGTCCTTCTGCCTGCTCTGCTCCCCGCTCTGGCTCTGGTGAATTCTCTCACCCTCCCGCGCTTCTGACTGTACCCAGTGCTTGTATAAACAAAAACAAAACAAACAAATAAAATAAATAAATAAAACATGCCTCTAAAAAAAAAAAGAAATGTATGTTGAATGAACACTTAGAAAATAAGATCATTCAGATCTACTCAGATACCACAACATCTGACTTTGAAAAAAAAATATGTTAGATAAGCACCAACTTCAATAATCATACTTTTCTTCATGTTAGTCTACAATGTACTGGTGTCCCTATTGTTGAACCAATTCCTCATTTCTGCCAGGAATGGAGATAGAGAATTTTAGCTTAGCACATTGACAAAGAAGAATCTTCAAATCCTATATGAAGTCTGATTATTTGCCTAGAACTTTATGTTATGACATTTTTATGCATATGCAAATAAAACTCTATAAAGACAGCTATTTTTTGAATGTTGATATTCCATGGTAAATTTGTCAACTCCATGGAAACTTCAACTTGGATTTGTAAAATTCACTTTTATCATTTGATACCTTCATTTCCTCACTAACTCTATCCTACCTACAAATAATATCCCCACAAAGACAATCAAAACTTTTTTTGTGTGTGTGTGTGTCGGGGGGGGGACCCTCGCCTGTGGCCAGGGAACCAACCGGTGCTGCAGAGGCTGCGGGGAGCCTCACAGCCCAGTGCTCAACCGCTGTGCCACCAGGGGAGACCCGACAATCAAAACTTTTTCCTTAAATTTTACTAGCCACAATTTTGTTGTTAATGGTTGTAAAGAGATTTCATTGGTTGAAGGTTCACATGCCCTTCAACTCTTTTAGCTTAACCCAAGTACTTAGACTCCAAGCTATTAAAGTGTGTTAGTGAAAATAGTTAATAGACTATTCTTACATACATGAATGCTAGCTTTGTTGTTATGCTTTTCAGTACTATCTATTCTTGGTGGTGACACTGCCTCTGAACTTGGCAACTTAACTGTGTTTCTTGAAAGCATTCAAATTGGTTTTGAGTTATGTTTTATTGAGTTAGGATAAAGCATATCCCTTCCTATATTTTTTCTCTCTTATATATTGCTACTCATATTATGATGTATTTTAACATTTTGCATACATTTGTGCATTTTTCTTTGCGTATTTTCATATGTAAGTTTTTTTTCTGCATTGAAATCATTAAGCTACAGTAGATGTCATTTGTTTCATATTTTCTTGAGATGCTTTAATCTTCAGAATTTTTCTCAAGACAGCTATTACTTCCTTATTTCTTAGGCTATAAATAAAAGGATTTAGTAAGGGAACTACTATTGTAAACAAAATAGCAGCTGGTATGTCTCTGTCCCCTTCCTCAAGCAGATTTGGTCTAATATACATAAAAAATAGAGAACCATAGAATAACGAAACAGACAAAAAGTGGGATGCACATGTAGAAAAGGCTTTGGCCCTTCCTTCTTTAGACTTCATCTTGAAAATAGTAAAGAGAATGTAGATATAAGATATTAAGACACTACCTATGGTGAAGACTTGAATTGAGCCTGAGAAGATAAATAGTACCAGTTCATTAATATAAGGATCAACACAGGAGAGCCTGTATAAAGGAAGAATATCACAATAAAAGTGATTGATGTGATTAGATCTACAGAAAGCTAATCTAAGTAGAAGCCCTACATGGATCATGGAATGCAGGTTTCCAGCTGTGTAGGCCCCTATGGTCATCTGAACACAGAGTTTCTTTGACATCATGGTGTGGTACTGCAGTGGACTGCATATGGCCACATAGCGATCATAGGCCATTGCTGCCAGGAGAAAGCAATCAGCAGTTTCAACGGTGCAAAGAAAATAAAATTGGGCCATGCATTCATAGAAGGATATCATTCTGTTCTCAGAAAAGAAGTTCTCTAACATCTTAGGGGTAATGGCACAGGCACAGCAAGAATCCACAAGAGCAAGGTTGCCCAGAAAGATGTACATTGGTGTGTGGAGACGATGCTCTTTTGAAATCAGTATCACCAGACCAACATTCCCCACCATGGTGATCAAATAGATGATAAGGAACGCCACAAACAGAAGGGTCTTCATTTCTGGGTGATCTGTAAATCCTTCGAGGATAAACTCAGTTTTCATGGTCTGATTTTCTTCATCCATTCCTGGCATCTCTGTTGAGAAAACAATTATGGAGAAACAAGCTATTACATAATATGTCCAGTTCAACTATTGTGCTCTTCTCTGCCTAGCAGGAGGATTACTTTTGTCCATAATGCTTCCACATGTCCCTGCATGGTGGTCCAGGCACAGGTCTGGGGATGGAGTTTTGGAGGTATCATCTCCTAAAGCTATTGCCTTTTTCACCTCGTAGTTCAACACTTTCCCTTCATAATTTCAAGAAAACATCAGATTGGATGTACAAAGATAATTTTTGACACCCTGAGAGGAATAGCCATAAAGCTCTCTTTATGGATTACTTAATTTGTCTACAACCTGGTATCAGTTGTCCCACACAATTTTAATGACTTTATGCATTGATTAACAGTGTTGTTTAAAAGACTATTTTTGTATATTCATATTCATAGCAGTATTATTCAGAGGGGGAAACAACCCAAATGTCTATCAGTAGTGGAAGGGATTTAAAAAATATGGTATATGCAAACACACAATGTAACATTATTCAGCCTGAAAAAGGAATGAAATTTTGAGACATGTTAAACCATAGATGAACCTTAAACGCATTATGCTAAGTGAATACATTATGTGCAACAGACAAATAATGTATGTTTTCATTTCATAGAGATAGAAAATAGAATTGTAGGGCTTCCCCAGTGGCACAGCGGCTGAGCGCTGGGTTGCGAAGCTGCCTGCAGCTTCTGCGGCGCTGGTTCGATCCCTGGCTGCTCCCCAGCCACCGGAGGAGGGTCCCGCATGGCGCGCAGACCTCTCCTGCTGTGCCCACTGCTCCCCTCAGCAGTGTACTTTGGTCCTTCTGCCTGCTCTGCTCCCCACTCTGGCTCTGGTGAATTCTCTCACCCTCCCGCGCTTCTGACTGTACCCAGTGCTTGTATAAATAAATAAGTAAATCTTTAAAAAAAAAAAAAAGAAAAAGAAAAGAAAATAGAATTGTAGCTTTCAGGGAGAGTTAGGGGATGAGGAGTTAAGTTTGAGATGATGAAAACATTCTGGGGATGGATGGTAACGATGTTTACACATAATAAATGTATTTAAAATCAAAAGCTGTATAGACAAAGAGTTCTAAATTGTTGGGCAATGTTTATTTCAATGTCCCTTTATTTATTTTAGTTAATTCAAGAGTCTTTTATTCATTGACCAGGTATTTACCAAATGCCTTCTCTGTGTTACATATTTTTTGTGAAAGATCATTTGACCCTCCTAGTCATTTCTAGATTGATAGTTTGCTGGATATCCATTGATTATAACTGTTATTATATTATATTATTATAACTGTTATTATTATTCTAGGGACAAAAAGAAAATACTTTGGAGAGATGTAGGAAGGTGTTTTCTTGAAACTGTTACTGAGTTTAGATCTCAGAGTATTTGGGGCTGATACCTTTAGGAACAATATTTTTAAATGAACTTTTGAAATCCATTCAATTTTAATTATTAGTTTTTCATTACATGTCTTACTCTTGGGAAACTGAAGTCTAAAAAATAGAACTTTGAGATCTATGTGAGCATAATTTGGTTATATATTTCATTTTATGCTTTACTTTGCCAACTTGAAGTCATATAACATAGTAAGCTTTCCTTTAGTTTTCCTAGTTGATCATAATTGAGAGACAGAAATATATTTTACATTGACATTCTGTAATTTTGATCATCAAAACTGAGACTAGAAAGTTCCCTAAAATTATATCAGGGGTGTAGAATGGCTTTAAAGTATATTCTTTCCTCATGTAATTTGTTTAAAACATAAAGAATTTCCAACATGAACATTTCAAGTATTGTTTCATTATAGAGGCAGTAGTCCATTTCATCTTTTAAATTTCAAGTTGTATGACAAACCACATTAATCAAAGAAGTTGAAAAACCTTAATAATGGTTTTTGTTGTTACTTTAAATCTGTCCCTTTTGTTACTGATTTTAATTTAGTCTTTTCTTGAATTCAGAAAAGATATAAATGAATTGTAGTCATTTGTCAGGATCTTGCACAGTGAACCTTAGGTTAAAAGAAAGACTTCAAGGATCTAAACTATTGAAAAAAATAATTTTAAAAAGAAAACTTTAAAGAATTTAAAAAAAAAATGTTTCTGGAGATTGATATTCCTTGAAAAAAGAATAGCTTTAGATACTTTCTCATCTCCATTTTCTGATAAGAGTTTTATAAAGGTTACTTTGTTACCTTGTGATGACTTCCAAAGTAGATCCACCAATAATACTCTGCCCTCTTGATTGTGTAGGAGAATATGTCTACCATCAGATCAATGATAATATTTATGCCATTGGTAGAGAATGGTTCCAATACTTTAAATAATTCTAAGGGGATTTCCTTGGCGTTGGCATCAAAGTATAGCCTGTGAGACCTCATCTCCTAGACATTACAAACATACTAAATTGGAATAATTAAATGTATCCTTTGAGACCTAAAGAGTAAAACAAATGCCTATTTAAAAACAAATTTTAAGAGCCTTGTTTTGATTTTTTTATTCACTTGATTTTAAATCATTTATTCTTATCAATCTTATTTCCTGCAATATGATTACATCCCCCCTAAATGTCAGGATTATGCATATTTCAGAAATGTACCCTGAGGATCCAAAAAAGAACATAGCAGAAAAATATCCCTGCCCTCATATTTCAATTCTAGAGCGATATGATTATTTCAAGTGAGGACCCATTTCTATGATGATACAGGACCAAGTGTGTTCTGATTGGCACAAAATTTCTGATATGGAAATTTTCTGCTGTAATGAGACCTTGTTAATATGTGTTGGAGAAAAGATTCTAACAAAGGAACTGCAAAAGAATAATGAATATTATGACTAGCTCACTTCTTCCCCAAGTCGTGGGGTTGGTGAAAGGTTCACAGTCAGTGAAAAGGATGAGATAGCTCATTTATTGTTATTCTGATCTTCTTATAAACATAAGAAATATTGTATGCTTACTTTAAAATTTTGAAATCTTTATTTTCAGTACCATGAACTCCTGCCATTCATATCTACTTATATGTGCAATAAATATCTTATAATGCCTCTTTTGTGCCATCACAGTGATGAGTCCATTCTCATGGAACTATTTTAGTTAAGGTGATGGGGAAGCAGATAGAAATAAATATATACACAAATAAGAAAAATAGCAAAATTTAATAAGTGTGCTGTGAGAATAAAATGGAATGATTTAGTAATGACTAGAAGATAGATACTATAGATCAGATGCTTGGAAAAGGTCTATAGTGAAAAGTAAGTTGTCAACTGAAACATAAGTAGTCAGAAGTCAGCCATGGTAGTCTTGGGAAAAGCATGTTTGGTACAGAAAGGAGCTGTTGAAAATTTCGCAAGGCAGAAATGGCCATTGCATGTTGAGGAACGCATTGGCATACAAGTGACTGGTGATAGATTGAAGTTGGTCTAGTAACACATACTGTGGAGTTACATTTTATTTTTTTATTTTTATTTTTTTTAAAGATTTTATTTATTTATGCATACAAAAACTGGTATACAGGCCAGAGGTGTGGGGGGTGAGAGGATTCACTAGAGACAGAGTGGGGAACAGAACAGGCAGATTGAACGAAATACACTGCTGAGGGAGCAGTGGGCAAGTCAGGAGAGGTCTGCTGTACCATGTGGGTAGCTCCCTGGCCGGGTATTGAACTTGTGCTGCAGTGGCTGCGGATTGCTTCATAGGTTGCATATCAACCCCTTGTGCCACCAGAAAGGCCCTGGAGTTACATTTTATTTTCATTGCAATGAGAAGACTTGGGAAGGATGTATTAGTTTCTTGGCGCTTCTGTAACAAATTGCCACAAATTCAGCAGCTTCAAATAATACAGATTTATTCTCCCACAGTTTTGGAGGTTAAGGGGATAATGTGCTTCCTCATGTTTCCCATCTTTTAGAATCTGCTGAAAATTCTTGGCTTCTACCATCTTCCATCTTCAAAGCCAGAAATGGCAGTTAAATCTTTCTTACATTAGATCACTCTAATTCTGATACTTGTGCTTCTGTTTCAACATTTAAAAAAAATGCATTGGACCCATCTGGATAATTCAGGACGACTTAATTTCCCTTTGTTATGAAACATAATATAGCCAAAACTTCTGAGGATTTGGATGAGGACATCTTTGGGGGACTGTTCTTCTGTCTCTCAAAGCAGAGGTGTTTTTTTTTTTTTAGTTGGCTAGATGGCATTATCTATTTACATTTTAAAATGAAATTATCGGGCTTTCAGAAAATGTATCATGAAGAGTAAGGGTGGCAATGGGAAGACCAGCTTGAAGGCTATTGCTATAGTTCAGAATTAAGATTATAGCTGTTTACATGAAGAAATGTAGATGATTTGGGTTATGTTTTGGAGGACAAGTCAATAGGATTTGCTGATAGTTTGATTTTGAGAGGTAAGTGTGATAGGTAAAGGAACTAATAAGAAAAATTGCCTAAAATTTTTGCCTGGAACATCTGAGGAGAAAATAGTAGTATTTATTGAGTTGAAAGGTACTGGAGTAGGGGTACTTTCCTTGGGGTGATGTGAAATAAAAATTTGAATTGTATTTTATTCATATTATGCTTGCATTGCTCATCAGTTATCTAAGTGGAGAAGTCAGACAGACTTTTGAAAATAAAAGACAACACTGTGATTTTGAGCTATCAGCATATAGATTTAAAATCTAGGAACTGTGGTGTCATCTGGCTAAAGTGAGAATGAGCCCTCTGAGACACTTGGTTTTAGACTCGACCAGGTTATCTAGCATACAAAATGCCTAGGGGCGGTAGAATGCAAGAGTTAATAAACTATAGGCATATCATACAAAAGATGATATCAAAATGTCAGACAAGAACTTGAATTTTACTTTGTAGTTAGTACTGAATAAATTTGTCAAGGGATACCTTATCAAATATGATTTTTAGAAAAACAACGCTGTATATGACTCATTGATTTTATTCCCTATTTAAAATTTTTCTTGTTTATATGCTTAAATGATAAATTAGCAACAAATGTTTGCATGTGTCTGAAGTACCATGTAAGATTAAAAGCTATGGAGTAAAGATGACTTTATACTAAGAT